GTTTGCTTCAGTTTTCCCCTGTGTAAAATGAGCTGGAAAAGGAAATGGTGAACCACTCCAGTATCTTTGCTGAGAAAACCCCAAATGGGGTTAGTCTGACATGAATAGAACGACCGGGTGAACAACAACAAATTCCCTTAAGTTGCAGAATGACTGTGTAGTAAATGAATGTAATGGGATATTATTTTACTGTAAAACATGATGAAAATGGAGAACATAGAAAATCATGGAAAGATGTATAAAATAATGCAAAGTGAAGTAAGTAGAGCCAGGGAAACAACCTACTCACCAGACACAAATAGAAAGAACAACCACCACAAAGGAACCAAAACTGAATGTTGAAATAATAAAGACCAATCATGGCTCCCTAAAAGAGACAAGAAGACAAAGGAGTGGAGGTCCATGGTGTGGTCATTTTTTTGGTGCATTGATTTGTTTTGTTGAATTTTTTTTCCTCTTCCTCTTAGGGAAAAAAATTATTATAAAACATGGTTCTCTGGGAAGGAGCAGGGGAAGGGATACAGGGGAAATGTAGAAATTTAAGCAATGTAAAAAATATGTCAACAAAGATCTATTTTTCAGAAGAAACTCCAACTTGTATGTTATTTGTAACCATTCTCCTGGCCTTTGGGCATAATGATGCAGACGTGGTCTCATCAGGGCAGAGCACAATGGGACTATGGTCTCTTTCTCTCTACATACTATATATCAGTGAGTGTCATCTAAGTTTCCATTAGGTTTTTTTGGCTGCCGCATCACACTGCTAACTCACATTTAGCTTGTCAACTGCTAAAGTCCCTAGGTCCTTCTCACATGAACTTTTGTCAGTTCACATCTTTCCCATCCTGTACAAAGTACAATTGATTTTTTTGAACCCAACTACAGGCCTTAACATTTACCCCTATTAAATTTTACCTTATTAGATTTGGTCCTATATTCTAACCTATTAAAATTTTGAATCTTGATTCTGTCATCCAATATATTATTTCTGCTTCTCTAGGATTAGCTCTGCCTCCCAGTTTCTTATCATTTGATGAGCACGCCATCTCTGTCTCCAAGTCATTGACAGTCCCTCTGGAGATTCCACTAGAATCTAGATTCTTTCTTACTCTTTGGCATCAATTTCCATTCTGGAATATTTGTGATGGCCTAATGGCTTTGTCCTCATGGGGCACTATCTGCATTAGATGGAACCATCTGAAGCATTCCTTGGACATTGCCTGTTACCATATATAATACCAGGAACATACTTGTTAAGCACCACACTTCTCATGTAAAGCCATTACTTACTTCCCCAGTTGCTAAGAAAATACTCACTTTCTGAATCCTTGGAAATTTGATGACTGGTGAATGAAGCCATCTAGGGCCAGTCTGAGAGCCAAGACATCTTTGTAATAGCTCAATGTTCCCTCTGAGACTGACCCTGGGTGACTCCTTTCCCATGAGAGATTAGGTGATTGGTGTTGGGACTTTAGTGTTCAAGTTGTGTGAGCTTCTTGAGAGGAGCAGAAGAGGAAAGAGGCCTTATAACACAGACTTGGGAATTAGAAGATGTGGGTTCCATTTTTGTTTGTCACTTACTAACTGTGACTTTGAGTTAATCTCTGGACCTCAATTTCCTTTGTAAAAACAAGAGGTTGGTCTATATAACCCTGATAGTTTTTGTAGCTCTAACCTTCTGTGATTCCACTTGATAGTAATAGGTCTAAGTAATAGGTCTATCTGAAGAGCAGATAGAAATTTCATCAGAGACAGAGAAACCTGCTGCTCACCTATTAAGAGTCTACCAGAGATGGGGAAATTGGTATTTGGGCAGGTTCTTAGTAAGAGACATAGGCACAAAGGAAAAGGGAATAGGACCAGCTGGTTGCATGTGCTAGAAACCAGAGCTTGATAGGAAGAAAGTACAAGGAAGGAGAATGGACAGAGGCAGGTTGGCCTGGTGCTTTTCTTGCTCGGGGTCCAGAAGGACCTTGTTCTGTTCTCACCTCTTGCTATTTTGCTGGAATGCTGGGAACTTCTTATTCTTTTCTTTATCCATATTTTTTTCCTCCAGAGAAGAAGGAGTTAATGTGTGGTTATGGTCAATAGCTAGTTCATGGAACAAAAAAGAATGTCTGTAACTATATAACCTTCTGCAAGTCACATCACTTAATTCTAGATCTTAATTTTATCATCGTAAAGCAAGAGAATACCAGCCATACTGATCTCACATGAAGATTTCAGGATGGAACCAGAATCTCAGAAGTCTCGTCTAACTTCTACATGAAGGATGAATCTGCTCTATATACCCCAGACAAATGGTCAAGTCTCTGCTTGAATACTGCTAAGGATGGGGAACTCTCTACTTCTAAAATAATCTATTCCATTCTAATTGTTAGGAAAGTGTTGATTAGGTTAAATCTAAGTATGATTCCTGTAACCTCCACTCATGGTCTTAGGTTTCTCTCTAGTGCCAAGTAAACAAGTCTGCTTCCCCTTCCATAGTCCTTTAAATACTTGCAATCTGATGACATTCTTCCTAAGTCTTCTTTTTCAGGCTAAAGATCCCCAGCTTCTTCAAATGATTCTCTTATGACAGTTTTGAGTTCTCTTACCATCCTAATTGCCCTCCTCTGGACACATGCCACCTTGTCAAAGACCCTCCTAAAATGAGAAGCCCCACATTGAACATAATAAATACACCAGATATAGTTTTACCAGGGCAAAAGACAGTGGGGCTCTCACCTTCCCACCTCGGAACATTAGATCTTGTTTGATGTGGTCCAAGATCAGTTGAGCTTTCTTAGCCATTATGTCACACTGTTGAATAACATTTAGCTTTTGGCCAATAAAAATCCCAGGCTCTTCATACATGAATTATGATCTAGCCTTATCTCTCCCATTCTGTGCTTGAATAAGTAGCAGTTTACATTTACGAGATAATGGATATCAAAATTCTTTACCCATGTAAGGGGCTGAATTCAATTAAACTCAACAAACATTTATTGTGCACCTACTTTGAGCAATATTCTTACTAGGCATTGATACAAAGGTAGATATAATAGATCTTTTGTGTAAGGGGCTTATAATCTAAACTAATGAAGGAAATCTAAGGAAGGAAAATCTGAGGAGTCTGAGGAAGGAAAAAAAAATATATATATATACACATGTATATATGTGTATATACATACATACTCTATCTATCAATCTATCATCTAATGATCTACATAAAGAACTATGATTTGAGAGAGAATAAGATAAAAGCAAGGGAGATGTCAGGCAAAGTGGTATGAGAATGAACTGCTGGAAGTGCCAGGATACTAGTTCTGGGAGAGTCAAGGTTTCAACACCCCATCTAATTCTTTCTCTACTCCACTCATGCTTCCGAGTATACGTGGTGCCCCTGGACATTTATTTTTCCTGTTTCCTATCATGGGGCACCTCCCCTTCTCCCATTTGAGCCTCAAAATTAGTAAAGGCTAGTGAGAAACTGCAAACTGGCTGAACATTTTATCCCTTCAAGTGGACTTGAGTCTTGATTGTGAAAATGGTTAGCTGCTGTCGGGTCCGAGTCTCATCACTGCTCAGACTCTTTGTCTGGCCTGCCTTTCAAAAGCCACATCTTAGGGGAGAAGCCAGAGCCATGAGTGAGAACTCCCAGGATATACCAGGTAAAGCTCAGAAGTCTGAGGAGGGTCTTTCCCTTGCCAAGTCATCTGGTTATTCCTCTTTCTGTTGTCCCTTTCTACCTCCTAAAATTGGACAAATGTTAATGCTTTGGGGGTGGGGGGGTACAGTGGGGAAGGGACCACAGGATCATAGATTCAGAGCTCGAAGGAACCTTAGAGGGCATTTAATCCAACTTTATTTTACAAATGAGGAAACCAAGGCCCAGAGAAGTGACATTCAAAGTCATACAGATAGTGAATGGAAGAGTTAGGATTTGAACTTAGGTCATCTGATTCTAGATTTATGGATTGCCTTTTGCTTTTGTATCCCCAGCACATAGCAGGTGCTTAATAAATGCCTGTTGGCTAACTTTCCACTATACAATGTTGCCATTATTCCTTATGGGACTCTATACATGTTTGCTGATTGAATGAACTGATGAGTGAATGAATGAAAAATTCAACTTTTCTTAGATTCAACATGTAGATTGGGGGCAAAGCAAAGGGATGGAACCACCATTTTAAGGCTAGCCCCCAGGTCTGGAGGTGAACACAGGACATCCCACCCTCTCAACTTAGAAATTCAGTCCACACTTCCAGTTTATATAGTTTAATACATGTGAAACAAGATACATTTTTCTCGTTTTGCTTAATGAATGCATCAATAACAGACGGTACAAGGTGAATGCATGAATATGAGGCATCTGGGGATTATTGGCAGCTGATGGCTGATTGCAAAGAATACCATAATGCCAGGTGGATTATCATTGTGTTTGTCATCATTATGATTAGGTTCTTTTTCTTTTTTTTTCTTCTTCATAGAACAACAACTTTTTATTGATGGAACCATTATATGGAGAGGGCTAGAATGGGAAGTGAGAAATTTCTCTAAGGGGCGGAGACACAGCAGGACTAGGGCACACAAGAGCTAAGGTCAACTAGAAGCTTCATAGAGGCCCTATGCTACTCACCAATGCACACATGCATGCACACCTGTGGTCCTTCTTGGGTATCACCCTCCCCCTCCGCCCCCCAATACTGAAGAGGGGAAATGAGGTAGGGAGGAGAGACAGTTTGTGTGGGGGATGGGGGTGGGAAGAGTAGAGGAGAATCAGCAGTAGCATTACCCTTACCCTGCCCTGGTGGTTGAAGAGAACCTGGTGGTCAGCTTAAAAGCTCACCAAGAATGGGGCCCAGGACAAACACGTTCAACCTTTCCATCTGGTGCCAATAACTTACTATGACTGCAGCAAACAAAATATGTTTCTTCAATAATTTAACATTTATTCATTTCGATTCCTCCTTGCCCTGCCTCTCCCACCCCACACCCACACCCTCCCTTCCCCCCTCCACCTTCTCCAAGGCCCTTGGGCCCAAGAAGCTAAACGTTGAGTACATCTCTTCCGATTATTGCAACATTTAACCTGAATTGGTAGGAGGAGAAAATGTCAAATAAAACACCAAAAAGTCACACATACTATGGGAAGATTGCTTGGGAGTGGGGGGGGGATGAGAGGAGCGAAGGATGAAGGAGGGAAAGGATGACGCTATATTATTGCCCTAGTCAGTAGTGGTTTGGTTATCCCCAGAGGGAGGACATGATGCTTCTTGAACTGAAGAGAGGGAGACACCCAGAAATGTCCCCTGCAAGGTGAAGTTGAGAGGATGACAAGAAAGGGATGAGAAGGGCAAAGGAAGGAAGAGAAAATGAAAAAGAAATTCACTCCCACATTAAACACAAGGAAACACCACTTAGCTGTGGAAGGAGGTTAATGGCCAACATTTTGGATTATTCTCTATAAAAATATGTGCATTATGAAGACAGATTTTTTTTGTCATTTTCTTTTTTTATCTCACAAATACATTATTTCTATTTATAGAACTGCTGATATACAGACACTGTACAGCTCACGTCGCCCGGGCACTTTCATGTACTGTGTCATTTCTACACAATAAGGTGCCGTTTAGAGGCGGAAAAAGAAAAAAGAACCCAAACCTGAATCAATGTGATTGAGGCTTATGGGGGGCAAAAAAGCGACTTCCCTGTACTGTTTCCAAAAGAAAAAAATGTTTGCATTGCCCTCCCTGCCCCCTGGCTGGGATCGGCTCCAATGGTAGGCCCCACTGCCTGGCCTCCTGCAAACCTACGGGGTCATAGCCCCGGCCTGGGCCCGGGCCCTGGGCAATCCCAGCTCAGCCCAGCTCTGCCAGAGTGGGGCTGCATTCTTGCCATCCCCTTCTCTCCCCCTCCCCTGCTGGGCATGGACCTAAATCTGAGCATCAAAGCCCTTAGTGACACCCATCCCCAAAGCTATACTGGTTCATCTATTCGATCATGTGTAGTGGGTGTTGTGGGGGGTGGTCCTGACTTCTTCTGGGGGCTTTGGGGAACAGTGAGGAGGAGTTCCTGGCCTTTCTCAGGGGGGTCTCCAGAAGATTTGAAATGCTCTGTTTTTTGGAGTTCCATGGGAGTTGTTGCCCCAATGGGGCAATCTCCCGCATCTGGCCGGGAGATGGCAGGCATGGTCTGGCCACTGTCCAAAAAGTGACTACCACTTGGAGAACCTGTATCTGGCAGCTCAAAGGAGAAGTTGGGAACCATTAGGAGCTCTGAACGGCACTGGGCTGGGACTCGCCACTCCCCTTTGGGGGGCATATCATTCCCACTTGCCGCACTCTCTCCCTGCTCCAGAGAGTCCCTATGGGAGGCTGTGGGGGTTGGGGCAGCCTCACAAGATGGCGTCCTCCTCCTCAGAGTGGTCGCACTGCTCTCAGACACTGGGGGGCGAGGAGCTGTGGTGCCCTCATCCTCTGTGGGAGGATCGATGGAAATACAAGGGGGACTCATCTTCTTCTTCCTTCGTACCCCTGGGGCAGGCTCGGCCTCAGCTGGGCCAAATGACCTGGCCTTTTTCTCCCCGGACTCCTCATAGATGCTATCCCCATCTACCGAATGACGCCGCTGGTCATCAGCCCAGTCGGGTTTGTCCAAGAAGCCCTGAGCATCAACACTATAGAACTTCTTCAGGTCTTTGTCCTGCCCACTGCCTCCCATATGGCCATCACTAGGGGAAGCAGAAGCCTTTCGGGCTGGGGAAGTGAACGTGGAAGCTGAGTGGCTGCGGGCCTCCGCCTGGGGCCTCCACACCCGGGCTGAGCTGTTGATGTGACTCACTTCCTCATCAGCCGGGTCTGAGGTCTCAGGGTCTGTGGTGGGGTCTCTGCTCTGCCCAGTGGGCCGCTTGGGAATACTTCGTTGGCCAAAGGTGTGCTTGCGGGTGCGGACACTGGCAGGACGGGAGTGTGGGGATGAGGCTGGAGAGCGAGGTGGCGTCCCTGGCAGGGAGAGAGGGCTGAGGCACATCAGGGAGGCACCCAGGCTGCCCAATGGGGCCCGCTTTGTCTGGGTCTTCTCACTGGGCTCTCCTGTAAGGTTGTCCCTGGAATCTGCAATTTGACCTTCAAGGGAATCAGTCTGCAAGGCTTCCTGGAAGTCAAACACAAGATGATGGGGCAGGTTAGGGGACATCTTCCTGGAGCTGTTTGGAGGAATCAAGGGGAACCACACTTACCAAAGTTGCTCCCTTCAGTTGGTCCTGGGAGCAGTTACCCCATCTCCAGGGTCAACTACCACTGGGGTCTCCCTAGGCTGGGCATATCCTGCTCTTCAGCTGAAGGCTGCCTGCCTCAACCTCTGACTTAGAATGTGGGATTCAACCTTGTAGATAGATGCCCAGAGCCCCCAAGAGAAAACTAAAGGCCTGGGCAGATGCAGGAATGAGTAGCATGTTCTGAAGATCATGAACAACATGTTCTAGGGACAGATTCACTTAGTGTCTGGGAGATTTAGAATCTAGAAAAGCAAATAACTCTGGATTGGGGGGTGAGGTGGGGGAGGTAACAAGAAACCTGGGGTCTAGCCCCATCTCTGCCCCTAATTCACTACTGTAGAAGTGTGCAAATCATAAAATCAAAAGACCTTGGAGACAAAAGAGACTTAAACTACTTAACCTCCAGGAGACCAAGTTTCCTCATCTGTCAAATGGGGATAATTCTTTCTCTGCCTCTTTCCTCCTTCCTTCCCTCCCAGAACTATTGTGGAGATCAGATGAGATACTTTATGGAATATTGGACCCATAGAAGGAATGTGGATAATTATATATCTTTTTCCTTCAGGAAGAGGGCAAAAACAAAACAAAACAACTCAACAACCTGATAACCTTACGTCAGGTGGCTGGAAGATGGGGAATCATAGCCATTGGCTTCCTACCTGTCTATAGAGCAGCCTACTCAGGCTTGGTGACCTTGGAGTACTTTGTGAGGACCTTGGAACCTCAGCACAGGCGGAAAGGGAGGACCCAGACGCGGCTGGGAGCGATGCATTTTCCACTGGGACTTGTAGGGCTGAACAGGATTCCATAGGTTGGGAGTGAACAGAGGTGACTGAGCCTAGGAATGGAGGGGAAAAAAAAAACAAACAATGCCAAAAGCCATCCTATATACATGGCAGCAAGGAAGGGTCCTGGAGATGAAAAATGTGAGAAGTTAGTATGGATCCAGGGGTAGGGCTGAGACTGGGCCGGGTTAGTGAGTTAGACTAGAGTTGGGTTAGGGCTCAGTTTGGAAATAGGATCAGGGTTTGGAGTCAGGGTTCAGCCTAGGGTTGAGGTTAGGTGGGGAATAAAGATGTAGCTGGGTGTTGGAGCCAGGGTTGAGGGGGATCAATTAATCAGAGTCAGAGGGTGACAGTGGTCTGAGCCTCTGAACACATGTCCAGTGCCCTGGCATTAAGGGACTTGCCATGTCTCTTTCCTAGAATGTAATTCAGTCAACTGAAACTAAGAAAATGTACCTACCATCTCTGCCAGCCTGGACAGATTTCTTTCTCTACTGCACTCATCAGATTTTGCTTACAATGAGAACCACTCTTTGTGACCTCTAAATCATATTTAAAAATCTCACATGTATATCTTCTTTCCTAGACTACTGTGAGCCCCTCTGGGAGCCCAGACTTCCTTATTTGTCACTTCCTGGCTTTTGAGCTCCCCAGGTGCAGGGCCCAGAGTCTTCCCTCTTTCCTTGATGAGAAACTCTTCAAATTTTGGGCCCAGATCTGTTCCTTCTGTCTCTCCCTGACTATGAACTTCTCAAGTCTCCTTTTCCTCCCTTCTAATATGAGCTGCCTGAAGGTAGGATCTAGATTTTCTCTCCCTTTGACTCCCCAAAACAGTAAGCTTTCCATGGCTAGGATTTGGGTCTACATCTTCTTTGTCTCTTTCATGGCACAGCTAAACACAAAGATGGGCACATGGGGATGGGGGTTAAGAAAACACTTTGTGATTATATGAGTCTATTGACAAAAGAAGGAACTGTCTTCTCTGTGTAGAGAAACCAGTGGACAAACATTCCGAGAGTCCTAAAAATGCCTTCAGAAATACATATGACCTTTGGTCTTATCAAGAGAAACACATGCTTCCATTTTGGCAAATAAGCTGTTTCTCCTGGGAGGAAAAACTGGGGATGATAAAGGACTTTATTCAGGGAACTCATCTTGCCTTTGAAGCTTGGTCTTAAATGCAGGAATGTGGTCAGGGGCTTGTGTCCTGTGCGGCAGGAAATCTGAGGCCCAAAGGCATAGTCAGATGTGCAAAGACCCTCAGATTCTAGTTCAAGTCTTACTTTGGGGTGGCCCGTAGGAGGTTGTAGTTTATAAATTATTATCAAAGAACTATTATCTATAATCTATAAACTGTGGATGCTTTGAGCTGATGGAATGACTGCATGACTGTCTGATTCTTTGGATATGATGTTCCCTTTTCTTTCTCTTATCTCAGAAGTTCTCAAAGTGTGGTCCTCAAGATCAAAACTCTTTTCAGAATAATACTAACATGGCTTAATTTCTAATATAGCAAATATCAATGGATATTACCCACATAAACAGAAGCTCTTTGGGAGGGTTCCCAATAATATTTAAGAGTTGTAAAGGGGTCCTGAGACCAAAAAGTTTGAAAACTGCTGTTTCATCTGAATGATGGGTCCTCTGATTTTGGTTATGTGGGGATGTGTGGAGCAAACACCCTGACTGGCTGAGGTCTAGCTTGGGGTTGGAACATTGACAAATGGGCTCTGGTGCAGGGCACCTTGGTAGGCCAACCCATAACATTCACTAAGCAGGAAGAGGCCATTTTTGGTTTGGGTCAAGGAGGAGCCTGAGGGTAGAGCTCTGGAAACTTGGAGAAATACGGAGGGTAGAGGACTTGATTCCTGGGGCTTGAGATATATTAAGAGAGATTAATAAACTGGGTAGCCACCCAGTTTATGATGCAGAAATTTCTTTCTATGCACTTTCAGTTACTTGTATCTTTTTATGTCTCAATTAATATTTTTTTCTTTTGTGAATAAAGCCAGAATTAGCACACCGAGTTGTGTGTGGGTGTGTGTGTATGTGTGTGTGAGAGAGACAGACAGAGAGACAGAGAGACAGAAAGACAGA